CAGTTTTTTCCTGAGGCTTTTTAATATTGTCCATATCGATATCGGAATTATATCGTATCGACCAAAACTAAGAAATATATCGTGATATAAATTTTTGCCATATCGTCCAGGCCTACACTGTGTACAGCATTCAGGGATGACAAGGCTAACACCAATTCTGAAGTTACCCATTCACTATTCTCACCAGAGTGTCAGAGTCCTCAAAGCCCTCCTGATCACCCTCCAGCTCCACAGTGGCCTCATCATCGAGGGCTCCATTGTCGCCACCGCTATTGGGTGGGCTGATGTCCAGCATCACTCGGGGCACGGGTTCAGCCTCAGCACCTGCATCATCACCCATCTCCTCAAACTCCGTGAAGTCATTGTCATCAAACTCCGTCAAATCCTCTCCGTCATCAAAACCACCCCAGCAGAAGGGCATCAGGGAAAATAGGAGCAATGTGTGGAGGAGCAGAAGAGCCTGCATGGTCAAATCTGGGATACAGGAGGGAGGCATCAGCAAAGTGTAAGAAAATGGAGTGTATATGCTTTTATCCTAACAATAGAGTAAAACAGAAAAAGCAGTAATATAAGCTTTCATGAGTACCATCTAGGGCTGGGCGATACCATATCGATATTATATCGCGCATGCGCAATAATCACCAGGGCTTCAGATGATAGACGAAGCATTTGTTCATGCACCAGCTTTTCAGTGAAATACGGACATTTATTTACACCCACAATTTAAGCAGTTTAGTAATATGGCTAAAATATTAATGAGGCTTTGTATGACGTCCAAAAGTCATTATTAGTATAAATACGGCATATCCTTGTTTCATAAATGTGTCAGACTTTGAACTGCAAAAAGTACCACCACACCGCCGACGTCTTTTTACGTTGTTTATCCACAAGATCTCCTCTTTTAAAAGATGTCGTGGCTGCTCTTCTTCACCGCAACTTCAGTGCATGTTGCACTGAGGTATACAAACTGTAGTAGGCTTGGGCGGTAATACGGTAATATGGTATACCGCGGGATCTAAAAATAGCAACGGCATCAGTTTCAATACCGTTATACCGTTATAAAAACAATGCACTTATATAGGAGACAAGGATTAAATATTAAATACAATTTATTTAATGCCTAAAAATGCATATGCGTGACAGCGTGGAGGAGAAATAGAGAGGTGGGGAAAGATGGCGAGTCGCGCACCAAGTGACCTGGTCTCGAAAAAGAACACAACTTCTGCAGTTTGGCAGTATTTTGGGTTTCGACCGAACGAGAAGGGAGAGGCGGTAAATACGGACGAGGCAATTTGCAAATTGTGCAACAAAAAGGTGACCGCGAGAGATGGAAATACCTCGAACCTAAGGTCGCATATACGAAACCACCATCCACTCACTGCTGCGCGGATGGACCCGAGTTCACTCAGTGCAACAGTTTCAACGCCTCCCGATGCAGGACCAACAACATCTAGGTCCACCGCCAGTACGCAGCAGACGATAATGGGGGCCTTCGGGAAAACAACAAAGTATAAAAGGGACAGTGTCCGTTGGAAAACCTGTACTGATGCAGTGACAAAATACTTGGCGAAGGAAATGGTCTCTTTCCACACAGTGGAAAAAAAGTCCTTTAAGGACCTGGTAAAGGTCCTAGATACCCAGTACGAGCTGCCTGGACGGAAATATTTCTCAGAAACAGTCGTCCCACATTTGTATAGTAAAGTTAGAGACAATGTTCAAGTGCTGCTGTCAGCGGCAGACAGTTATTCCTTAACAACTGACATGTGGTCGTCAGTTAACATGACACCATATANAAAAGGGACAGTGTCCGTTGGAAAACCTGTACTGATGCAGTGACAAAATACTTGGCGAAGGAAATGGTCTCTTTCCACACAGTGGAAAAAAAGTCCTTTAAGGACCTGGTAAAGGTCCTAGATGCCCAGTACGAGCTGCCTGGACGGAAATATTTCTCACAAACAGCCGTCCCACATTTGTATAGTAAAGTTAGAGACAATGTTCAAGTGCTGCTGTCAGCGGCAGACAGTTATTCCTTAACAACTGACATGTGGTCGTCAGTTAACATGACACCATATACACTAGGGCTGCACGATATATCGTTTCAGCATCGTCATTGCGATGTATGCATGTGCAATAGTCACATCGCAGGATGTGGGATGTTAAGTAACGCAAATTAAATTAAGCGGCGTGGACAACGCTTTTGGTGTTTTTGCTAAACTAACAAATGTCACACTGTTCTTATTCTTAAACAATCCACAAAAGTCTGTCTAACATAATTTAAATCAATTTAAAGGTTTTTGGATATGGAGTCGACATGCAGCTTTGCACCGGCAGCTAACAAACATGTCGATCACAGAACGAACCACCAAGCACAAGCATTCTAACCATTTAACCCAGCGTTATTTTGTCACTCATGTTAACTCTCATATGCGATAAGCTTCCATAGTTTAATGCTCATGCTCTGTTTAGTACTGATTAAGTTATCATTACCATTATATTTGGGCTGAATCAGGTCAATCTTTCTAGAATTATTAATTATACCAATAGAGCAGCGGTCACTAACAGGCGGACCGCGCCGGACCCGGACCCAGAAGCTGTCCCATACGGACCTGGACCGATAGCCAAAACAGAAAGTTATGATTTAAAACCTGATGGGGCCCTTCTATTTTAACCGCCACAGCTTTTGTAGTCTTTTTGGTAGTGGTTTAGCACTAGAACTGCCGCTTCCCACACCAATGCACGTCAAACGCCTTTAACTGCGAAGCGTAGTTCGGCATATGCAGCCCTTTGTCTGCGCTAATGTGCCATTAGTGTTAATAACAGCAGCAAAGCGACCAAAAAGCCGTAATGTTCCTAACAGAGTGGCTGCTTAATAACAGCAGCGAATCGAACACCCGCAACCAAAAATCCGTAATGTTCCTAAGAGAGTGGCTGGTCTGTCCTGAAATCATATAGCTGAAAAGATTTCAAATACAGTATGTATTATATAACATGTTGGATAAATAGACATAGTTTATTGGTGATTTCATGTTCGTGGAAGTTTCCGCTTTTT